TCAGGGGAAGGGGTGGGGAGAAGCGAGGCGGGGGCGGAGCAGGGACCGGGCTCTGGGAAAGAGGCGGAGCAGGGGCGGGGGCAGCTTTCCTGGTTGGCTCAGGCGGCTGGGGGATCGGGCTGGCTGCTGGAGCAGCACGCAGCTGCGTCGGGCACCAGGAAATTTGGGAAATTGCCCGACGCAGCTGCGTAGTTTGAGTCTGCGTAAGGGTGGACCTGGCAGGAACCACCCACAGATCGCCAGATGGGGATTTCACCAGTGGACACGGTGCTGGTGTGGCTGGCTCCTAAGCTTCCCTCCTCACATCCTGGTACAGTGAGAGCAGAGAGGGATATTTTCTAAGGTGGGGAATTGGAGTAGCTGGAGCTGCTAGCTGGGGCAGAGAATCAGGGAGCCGTACTGGGTTGTTATTTCTCAGCTTATCCTCTGTTCTCCCTCTCCTTGGCGACTGCTGGGGAAGACAGACCTCCTTTGTTAAGCGCTCTCATCGGCTTAGTTCAGCTCCTGTCCTGCTATCCCTGTAGCTCTCCCATCCTGGCAGGAATGTAGACAATCAAGCAGCCAAAGCTATTCTCTTCTCCCTCCACTACTGTACTATAGGAAGCCAGCAGAGGAGCTGCTGAGCAACTGCAGTAAATAAAGGACAACAGCTGGCTCACAGCATTGTTGCTCCTGGGTTTGCTGGGACAGTTTTGTGAGGTAGTTGAGGAGGTGCTGCCTGCAGCAATGTGCTTGATTCAGACGCTTCTATTTAGAGATTGCAGGGCCTGACACAAGGAACACGTCTCCAGTTGATAGTCAGTGCAAATGGACAGCTATAGTTTTGAGACTGGAGGGCCAGATTGTGGATCACTACTGATGTACATTATATGTATGTGGTCATGAATAACATGGCATGAGTGCCTGTATTCCACTCAGCATAGTATACAGGAGAAACCCTTTCATCAGATGACTTTCTGCTGCCCAAGTGGACATCGTGAAGCCCGCCATGCCAATGGCATCATGGTTTCCATAGCAACTGATGTGCCTCAGTCAGAGAAAAGTAGAGGAAGACTGAGTATAAGGGTAAACTCTGAACAGTATCAGAAGAATATAGTTTTAGACTGCACATTGGAGAAACAAATCATGGGAAAGTGTATAGGGACACTAAAGTATTTATTGACAGCTCACATGGCTTCCCCTTTCATTGACAGAGTGATCACCCTAAATTTATGGCAATGAAAACTTTATAGAAACAGGCCTCTAGGGTGGGATTAACCTATCACTGGCCCTAAGTGAGCACAGGGTTGTAGCACTGCTCAGGTTTGGCCTGACCACCATTATGATGGAGGGGTGGCAGGGTCAAAATTGAGTGAGTGGTGTTGTAACCTTGCGTACAGGGTGACAGCACCTCTCGGGGTTTCCCTTTCCTCTGAATTTAAGCCCTATGCGTGTGCCTCATTTGCTTATGCATTAATATCGTCCTGTACTCCTCCATAATACAGAGATAATTTTTTCCTCCTTCCTTCTCCTGCCGTTCTTCAACCTACTCTGTCATCTCTCCCTCCTCTTCCCCATTCTTGCTCTTTAGACAGACAGAAACAATATGTTGTGTTAAGTTGGTAATTCCCATTGTACTGACTAGGCGGAGTTTAATCCCTTCATTAGATCTGGTTGGAAAAACTTTTGACAGAGCCATTTTCTACTTGACAATGCAGTTCTGTCAAAAGTGAAATGCCTTGTGAAATCATGTAGATTTTGCCAAAATTTAATGTAGGAGTTAAAACAGGAAAAAGATTTCCAACAATGTAAAAACATCAGAATTCAACATTTTTTTTAATCAAAATTTCATTTTTTTGAGTGACTTCAGTTAATTTTTTTTAAAATTGTATTATATTAAAAATAAAAACTCAAAATAAAATCAAAACATTATCCAAAACAATTTATTTTTTTTTCTGAAATTTCCTTTGTGAAGAATTTTGAAATTTTGGGGTTTCATTCCAATTTGGAACAGAGGCAAATTTTAAATGCTTCACAGAATGGAATTTCTGTCCTCTGCACAGGTCTGTCCTTCAAGTTGAGTTTAGCCAAGATTTTCAAAATAGGAGTCTTAAATTAGGTTCCTAAATTCATGCTTAAGCACCTAACTAAATGACTGATTTTTAGAGCATCTACACCTGCCATTGAGTTAATGGCTCTACACTTTCCATTGACTCAAATCAGACCATAGGAACCTACTTACCTATTTTAGAAGCCTAACTTTACAAACTCATTTCTGAAGATTTTGGCCTGTATTTTTAATCCTATGTTGATCAAATTCCTTTCTTATTATAATAAAAAAGACTGCTTCTCCTGTATTTTTCTTACCAGTTCTAGAAATATGGGGCCCTGTTCACAGATCAATACATTTTTAAGGCCAGAAGGATTCATTCTGATCATTTAATCTGACCTGCTGCATAACACTGGCCATAGAACCTAAGGTAGTAATTTCTGTATCAAGCCCATAATTTCTGTCTGAGCTAAAGCATATCAGTTAGAAAGACATTTAGAACTGGAATTAGTTTGCAAACTGGACACCATTAATTAGGCTTGAATAAAGACTGGGAGTGGATGGGTCATTACACAAAGTAAAACCTATTTCCCCATGCTAATTTTTTCTCCTACTGTTACTCACACCTTCTTGTCAACTGTTTGAAATGGGCCATCCTGATTATCACTACAAAAGGTTTTTTTTCTCCTGCTGATAATAGCCCACCTTAATTGATTAGTCTCCTTAGAGTTGGTATGGCAAAACCTATTTTTTCATGTTCTCTGTGTGTGTGTGTATATATATATATATATATATATATATATATTATATTCCTACTGTATTTTCCACTGCATGCATCTGATGAAGTGGGGTTTAGCCCATGAAAGCTTATGCCCAAATAAATTTGTTAGTCTCTAAGGTGCCACAAGTACTCCTCATTCTTTTGGCATCCAGTTATGGTGATCTTATGGAAGTTTTGCTGTGGTTTCCTGCTCAACATATCATTGGAAAAATACCAGTTACATATCACTGATTGACTCCGCAATTGAGCACCTGTGACAGGCAACTAAGTTATGCCAGTAATTTCCTCAAAATAATTACCCACTCTAATTAACTACTTTGCTGCAGCATCAACTAACATGTTCATTCTTAAATATAAGTACCGGTAAGTAATTTTATGAGGCTACCGCTTGATAGTAAGCCTAGAGGAGCTTGATCTTATTTTGATTGATGCAGAAATTGGTAGTAATTATTATTACATGACTACCCTTCCACAAGAGCTATCTTGTAGCTAAATTTTAATAGGCCCATATACTGTGACACTTTTTTCTTGAAGGGGTGAAAAATCTTTTTCAACTCATTTTGGGGATTATAACAGCAGTAATTTTCTTGAAATTGGTCCTTAGTACAGTGGATAGCTCTCAGCTTTACCTCAAGATGGTTAACAAACCCTTCATTAACTGTGTTTAATGAAAATTTATATTTTTTATGTGAGTAATACTGAGCGACAAAGCATTATAATCTTGTCCTTGGTTATTGATATGTCAGAAACATGAACAAATGAGGTTCAAAATTCATATGTGTATAAATACACAGTACTGTATGTGGATATAGACTATATCTTGCCAGTTGTTACCATTTATTTCTTCACTATACCTTAACGTTTCTTCCTGAAATTTTCAGAACAATGCCTCATCACCTCCTGAACTCAGGAAATGGAGCATGATGAATGACTGAGGACATAATTTATGAAGATCTAATAATAAATATTAACACTTCATATCATCAGGAAACATTGCCATCTACAATAGAATTATTCGCACCAAATTTGAGGGTAATAAAGCACAATTGTGAAGATTAGAAAAACCTGGCAAAACCATTATAATGGACAACAGGATATGATACATCACAAAATTACTTGGCTGGATTTTCATCTTTTATACGCTATTGATAAAAAACACCTACTGGAATGTGTGAAATTGCTCTGGTTTAATTTTACCTAGAACAACACACACACAAAAGATTACAAGGATGATCAATTATTGATTTTGTCCTAGAAACTGTGATAAAAAGAACTGTCAAGGAGGAAATTTTCTGTGTGGGAGGCAGGGAATGAAACATTCAATATTTAAAAAAAAAAAAACAACTCTATATATGTAGATCATGTTCTGATAAATGAAATAATATGATAGGATTTCTCCCCTTCAAAACTGAAGGAAAAACTACAGAACGTTACTTCATGTTCTTAGCATGTGGGAACAATTCAGTTGACCTAGGAGAGCATTTAATAGGTATCACTGTTGATCCTCCTGACTTGTCATACTCATCCTCCCACCATGGTTCAGGTTTCTTCCTTTGCCTGGTTGGCATTCTCATACAAGTTTGTGGTACCTTCTAAATAGCAGTTGAAGAATGAAGGGTTTGTGGATGCTAGTGGGGGCAATTTTGCCAAGGGGGTACAAAGGAAGAGAATAGAATTTATGCAACATGCTCTTCTCTGTATATCGAGGGCACTTGATGTGAACAATATATTTCTCAGGGTCTGAGGTTGTTTGGTAAACAGGACAAATCTAGGAAGTAACTGCTCTCTCTGGCATCTTCTCCAGGCAAATCAAGACCATCATGTTTAAAAGCTCAGTGAAGCATTAATTCTGATTCAGGTCTTGTCCCTACCTTTGGGGGAATTGATGTGCAGGTTTAGTGAGGCCCCAGTGGTAATATTGACACTGCTGATGATCCACCTTGCTGCCAGCTAGGAAGGGAACTCTGGAAGCCTCATGGAGGAGCTGGACTTTCATGCAGATGACCTGAGATCAATAATTTTGAGGTTGGGATTTGCTGTGGATCCTGAAGCTCTGCACAGATGAGACTCCACACTCATTTCCCCCATTTCAGCCACTAATCTCTCCTTCATCACCACAGTTAACATAAACTGAGTTAAAATATAGAAAGTTTTTACTTATTTTTTCCACATCTGAATGTTTTTGTGCAGAAGAAGACAACCTAGGTGCTTATTTCAAGCTTTTCTTCTTACTGTGCCAGAATATGGAATGTAACCAGCTCCATCTTTATGGTAAGTGTCAATTAGAACGGGATGAACAGTTAAAAACACATTTTGGAATGTTTCCATGAATAAAAGACATGGAGTTCAGGTCCCTATGAATTATGGTGTGACATTATATGTTACTCTTGAGTATTTGGGTACAGGGTAGGTATGTATAAAACATTTGTTAAAACCATGATGTCAAGAAGGTTAGTATGACTGGTTATTCAGCCAAAAATTCTATTAATTATTCTCCTGTTCAGTTATCCAATCAAGGAACAGAAAAAATGCCATGTGACTTAGACACAAAAAGAATAATAACTATTTAAAACACTCACTATTCTAAGAAGCATTTCACAAAACAGGATGTAAATCATTTGGTGAATCCTACAACTGTTTCTCGGAAATCAGGACTGGTTTGTGAGCAGTACCCTAGCCTCCAAAGGGGATACATTTGTATTGAATTTTATTCATAACTAATAGTTCAAACAGATCTCATTTCAAGGATGACTAAACCACAGCACCTGATATTATGATAGCACCTAGTGGTCCCAACTGAGATTTATGTTGTACAAACACATAGTGAGAGACAGTCATCCCCTGAAAAGTTTACAGAGTAAATAGACAAGACAAACAAAGGGCTAGAAGGGAAACAAGTGACTTATCTAGGCCACACAGCAGGCCAGTGGCTGACCTGGGAATAGAGCTCAGGTTTTCTGGCCCCTGTTGCCTCCCAGTGGATATTTGAGGTGATTGAATTTATGAAGCCTTTTTTACTGAAGACAAGGGGGGAATTTGTTTAACTTTAAGAAGAACAGGAGTACTTGTGGCGCCCTAGAGACTAACAAATTTATTTGAGTATAAGCTTCAGTGGGCTACAGCCCACTTCATCGGATGCATAGAATGGAACATACAGTAAGAAGATATATATATACACGTACAGAGAACATGAAAAGGTGGAGTAAGGGGCTAATTAATTAAGATGAGCTATTATCAGCAGGAGAAAAAAACTTTTGTAGTGATAATCAAGATGGCCCATTTAGACAGTTGACAAGAAGGAGTGAGGATACTTAGCATGGGGAAATAGATTCAATATGTGTAATAACCCAGCCACTCTCAGTCTCTATTCAAACATTCACTTTCCTTTTTCTCCCCCATCTCTACTGCCCAAGTTGCAGCTATTCCTTTTTTACGTTCAGAGAACTTGACCTCTATGTCTTCTTCCTCCTTTTTTTTTTTCTCCTCCTAAAAGTCTGCAGCATGCACTCTCAGGTTTAGTACTTATTCTCTTAGAGCTTAAGTCATTACCTACACTTCCACTCTCTGCCTCACCATTTGATTCCTTCTTTCCTCTTTTATACCATGTTGCAGTAATTGCAACATTGTAGGTTGCAGTGAAATGAGCAAATGTACCTTTATGTTTAGTACAGATCAAACGTTACTTTTTGACATGTTTGCAGTTTGGATTTTTAAAACACAGCCCACTTTTGTGCTGTGCATTTTGGCATAGATGAGGTGCAGAAAAGAGGCAAGAAGGGTATCTTTTTATTATAGCACGGTGCCAAAATGATTGTTCTGAAGTTGGCAATGAGAATCAACAAACAGATTGCTTTTCCTGAAGAAGGCTGTGGAGAAAGTCATTAGGATCAGATCACAGAAAGCAGCAGCAGGAGCAGCTGCAAGTTCTCCTTCATTGGACATGGTTACAGATAGAATAGAAAAAACATACATAGGGCTTGATTCTAATCTCTCTTACACCAACGTAAATCAGGAGTGACACATGTAACGTTAGTGGTGTTACACCAGTGTGAAATGGGTATGGATCAGAATCAAGTCCATTTAATTCAGAGTATATCAGTATCCTCTTTTGACCTCTTCAACTGTTTTTCTCTTTGGAAAGGTGATAATTGAAAGACAAATATTAAAACAAATCCAACAGACCTCAGCGATGTAGACATGATCAGGGCTCTACTGATGTTTCCTTGGTATTACTTGGAGCACTTAGCATGAATAAAGTTCTGTTGTCCCAACAATGTCTATTTTTACAAATAATATCGTGTCTCTGAATACCTTTTTTAATTAGAAATGGTCCCAAGTGGTATATAGTTCAGTCCTGGATCCAAACTTCCCCCAAGTCTGGAAATGTTCAGATCCAAGGATTTGTTTTGAAGCCATCTGATCTTTAAATTTAAAAGCACTGGATGGTATATTAATTGTATCATCTGGCATTAATCTGGCACATTGGAAAGAACTGCTTTGACACAAGTGTTGCAGTGCTTCCCCCATGTTTTGGAATTTTTCTGTGGCAAAGTTGGCTTTCCTGGTGTGATTCTGAAGCCTCCCCACCCAGCCCAAATCTCCTGCTCTTCATCTTCCTCTCCCCCCAACAGCTGGTACATAGCTGCTTCACTGCATGTAGTTTCTCTTTATGGCTGGCTAGCCCACCTGTAGCTGTGCTCTCTGCCAGCTGGCCTGCAAACTTTCTGGGTCCAGTGAGAATTTCTGATTTGCAGGTTTTTAGTTTCCCAACAAAAAATAATAATAAAAATTGAGGAAAGTAGATACTTTGTTATAATTTTCATTTAGTTGAAAACCCAATTTTCTGTTGAAAAGAATCATAGAATTTCAGGGTTGGAAGAGACCTCAGGAGGTCATCTAGTCCAACCTCCTGCTCAAAGTAGGACCAATCCCCAATTTTTGCCCCAGATCCCTAAATGGCCCCCTTAAGGATTGAACTCACAACCCTGGGTTTAGCAAGCCAATGTTCAAACCACTGAGTTATCCCTCCCTCCCCATTTCAGTAGAAAATTTTTGACTAAACTTAATTATGACCTATCCCAAAAATGTGCTTAATTCTAATCAAGATATTTAACATGATGCAGATGCTGGGGTAACAAATGGGCTATATTCACCGCTGGTCTATATAATGTCATATCAAACACTCACATATCACCAAATAGATTATATGAAGTAAGGTTTATCATTCACAGGAATGGTTTTCAAATCTTACTGAATATGATATTTATTAGAGACTTTACTACAGTGGAGAATGCTGTACCAGAACATAATACAAAAATCACCTCTATCATGTGAAATGTGCAATCATAATAAGCAGATATTTAACTCATAGTGTTCTCTTGGGCTCACAATTCCAATCAGAGGCTTAGAAGGTGTAATTGCTTCATCTGCAGATATACTGGGGCTGGCTGCAAAGCTGGTTTTGTGGAACAGGAAATATTTATGCCTGGATAGTAAATGCAGGTCAGTGTTTGTTTTGTGATAAAAATATACAGGACAAGCCAAAAAATTCAATGGCAGAAAGGTCATATATTGGGAATATCAGAAGAAAACTTTAAACCAGGTAAAATACATACATATGCTGCCTCTCCTACCCACCCCATGATTAACTTTCTTGCAGAATGGTATAAAATTGCATCTCCTCTGAGGGAACTTTGGGAGAGACTGGGCTTTTCTGGAAATCCTCTGACGGATAGAGGGAATGGTCCCTGCATGCCTCCATGCACAAAAACTGCAATTGTACTCTGCTGTTGCATGGGAATGGGAAAAAAGTATCTTTGTGACTGCCTCCTTAATCTTCCTGTAAGGGCTTGGGACAATCCAGCCTGAAGGAAGTGCCCAATACCAAACTTAAATCAAAATCCCATTTCTGGAATAGCTGTTTTCTTTTTTACTGACTAGTGATGTGATGTATCATTATTCATGAGTATTTTCAGGAAGAGACAGATGGATGAACTCTCATTTTCTATGGAAGGTTTCTTATGGAGCTAGCATTACCATGCCATGATGAGATAAGATGATACCGCAGGAAATTCAAGATGGAAAAGGGCCAGAGCCAGGTCACTGCAGAGCTGAAATCTGTCAATCTAAATTTCAGTTTAAGAGGCCCTCATTTAAGACAAATTCTTCCATTCAGAAGAATTCTTTTAAAGGCACTAACTCTTAAATGAGGCTTAATAATCTTTGGTTTGACAATAACCAGGGGTAGAACCTAAATGCATGCTTAATAGGACTGCAGCTGCACTCTGTCAGCCATTTGTATTTGTAGCTGGAGATAAATGTGTACATTTTTCTTTTTTGTTTTGTTATCATAGGTTATGGGCCTTTTATAGGAATGGGTGAGTGATGTTCTGTAGCCTGTGATGTGCTAGGGGACAGACTAGATGTTCATGATGCTCTTTTCTGGCCTTAAAGTCTGAGTTTTTTTCTTGGAGCCAGCACTGCAAGGAATATATTAAGTAACAGCACAGGAAACTCAGGGTGGACAAGGGCCAATGCACCAGTTCACGGCAGAGTTGAAAGTTTGTCAGACTCCATTTAGATATCCAAAATCTTTTAATGAAAATCAGTTATCTAAGAAAAATCATATCCAGTGGCAATAAAAGAGACGGCATGTCAGCATATATCAGGTCGCTAATTGCTAACACACCAATGAAATCCTTTCCTAGGGATTGTGCATGGGTATGTGTTTGAGCCCCTTTGTGTGAAGGAATGAGGAGAACCCATAATCTGAGGAGCCATAAAAATGAAAAGTTTAGAAAACGAAAAGTAGAACATAGGAATTAAAAAAGAGAAGAGATGATTGTAAAGAAGAAATAAACAACATACAAAGAGAAGCAGAGAAAAACAAAGAAAGTAGAACAGTTTATCAGAATAAGATGCCAGAAATCCTTGCACCCACCTAAATAGAAGATATTTCATTACATAAGGTATTTACATGACATGCTCACATAGGCCCCAGGCAACTGTTTCCATGAAAATCCCCTGTTCAAGTCAATGGGGTCTGCCCAAGCAGGGAAAGTTGCTGGATCAATACCATAAATATGCTGTGAAAATAAATATGGACTTTGTGGGCTTGGTCCTTCAAAGTGCTGGGTACTCTCAACTCCTATTGACTTCCAGGTCAGTATCTAACGTATGAATGAGAGTTAATGCATCAATGGAGTTGCAATACATGGATCAATGGAAAGTGATGCATTAGGAGGAGCTGAGAGAGCTCAGCATCTTGGAAG